ATAATTCTCAATAAGTCTGGGGCATATTCGGCAATACAGTTGATCATCACCAGTTAAAAGCTCTATTTTCAGATGATTCAACAGTAAGCTTTGCACGGACTGGTTATTAGTCATATCGGGAAACGCTAGCTGGAGTTCCAGAAAGTCACATACGTTTTTGCTATCTCTTGAACATGTAATGTTACATGAACGTAATCTTAATTCGGTTTGTTTGAATGCGTTTGAGTGATGAAAACTAGAAATTATCAGATGAAATTTGAAGAATGAGTGGTATTTGGAAAGATTATTTATTTCACCAATTTGGATGGTAGCATGTAAATACATATTTTTGACAAATCAAGTTCAATTGAAAACTATAGGAGTGTGTTGATTCAACTGGCCAGAATGAACCAGTGTTATTGATTAAAATATGAAAAACGTCACATTTTGACACGTGAAAAAATAATCATACTGATTTTGGTTTGTCATTTTTCAACATTTGATCAATTACATCGCTTTTTTCGTTTTCAATCACTGATTGATTATTGAAAGTGTAAATATCTCTAGTGATTTTTTTTTGTTGATGTAGCTTACAGTTTATTCGAATTGCTCAAGAAATTTATGACAAACATAGAAAAATGTTATTTTTATTAATGCATAACAAAAACATATTACAGGGACAGACCTGGTTTTAGTGAAGCAGATTACCAGAAATGAACAGAGAGAATAGAGAAAATTCAAAGTGTTAGAAAACTGTGGAAAGTTGGACCTGAAGATATTGCATGCAAAATGTGAGAGCCTAAGTTTGAACCCAAGTGCAGTTTCGATTTTCTAACTTAGCCACTTCCGAGAGTTTTTCAATTTATTTATTTGGTCATCCCTGAGGCTGGACCCTACTAAAAAAGTCTCACTCAGATTTTCCCGATGTAAACACACAATGCTCCTCTGAAATATTAACCATTCAGTCGTCAGCAGTTTTTAGTAGACATAAAAAACATTCAAGAACTGCGAAATATGAAAATGGAAAAGCCTTGAATATGATGGAATCGTATCCCAACTTTCACCCTACACAAAAGTCCTCGCAATGCGACATGAATGATGTCTTTACTCCAACACACAATTTGACGATCTTCTGAAAAATACATATAATTCATTTCATTTGAGGTACTCGTATCCTCACACAAATGCAAATGAAGTCCTCGCATCGTCACACAAATTAGGTCTTCAATACAAAATGTGATGTTATTTTAAATATTCCAATTGCTTTTTAATATATTCAGAGTCCTCGTATCTACACACATCTACGAAGATGTCCTCGTATCGACACACAAATTGAGTCCTCTCAAAGGCAGATATATCACTGGCATTTGTGTGAATTTTTGAATTTGTGTGTCCTCGGAGAAGATGCAGAAATTAGGTAGGAGTGTGTTTATCAATCGATTGTTGCACGCCTAGCGGTGTGTTTGGTAAACTAAGTGTCCGTAGTGACCATGTTATGAGAACATCGTCTTTTTTTTGATTTATAGGTACATCTGAGGTCGTATTAATACGTAGAATACTAAAATGAAATCAAAAGGTTGTGTGTCCTCGCATGATAAACTGTCCTCACATGACCTATCTGGTATGGACGAAAGTCCTCGCATGGCTACGAATGCCCACTCACATACCCACACACACACACACAAAATCTCATATGAAAAAAAAAAATTCTGAACGATCCATGCACAATGCACCCTTCAAGGTCACATCGCCTTGATGTTACTAAACAACAACAAAAAAAGCAATTAATACGTGATAGTGGTGGGGGGAGGCCCAGAACCGGCTGTAATCTACTACTTTAGATGCCTATAAGAATGTAGAAATAGGTAAATATAATAATATTATGAATACCTAATAGTATACTATACAGGCCGTATTTTTTAGCTGATACCACAATTGCTATCTCGGAAACAGTAGATCCTACAAGGACGGTTAAACGGAACAAAAGTTGTCTATTCAGGAATGCAACACACTGGTATTTTCAGATCTATGATATCATCTACGTTTTCTGAGATATTTCCAAAAAATGAAAATGACAGATTTTATTTCTTTGCTCTACTAACTCCATTTTCAATTATATCAAAAAATGACAAAAAACAATTTGCTTTATTTCATGTGCTTTATAATCTGTGTCAACTCATTTTTCAATGCAACGTTTCGTTCATTGAATTCCATCATCAATATATTTTATTTAATTACGGACCTGTATATTTTTTATACATTTTCGTAGTCATTATACTTACAAATTCGTTGACATATCACAACATATGTATTTCTCAACGTTTCTTCCCGAAATTACATCATCAATATTCTGTCATTCAACTTTCTTTATTCAATGATAAATCAAATATCAAACTATTGTTGTAACACATAGTTAACAGTATCGTTAATACATCACATTGAAGAAAAGACAGTTGCGAAAGAAAATGTAACGAAGTAATAAATGATAGAAAATGAACACCATAACGGAATGTCTCACGTTACATTTTTTAAGTTACCGTCTCACGCGATATCACATCAAATGTTCGAATTGTCTTCCATCATTTCTTGAACAAATACCTACTTGCTCTAGAAATAGTGTGCTTGTGGCAGTTCTCTAACATCTGTGGAGTGATAGCGATGCAGGCACTCCTTATTAAATCTTTCAATTCTTCAATATTTTCAAAATTTGTTGTGAATACTTGATCTTTCATGAAGCCCCACAACAAAAAATCTAGAAAAGAAAGGTCTGGTAAACGTGGTGGCCATACAATAGGACTATTATTTCCCATCCACCTTCCTGGCATATATGTATTGAGGAAATCTCTGCAGATCCTCCTGCGATGTGGTGGAGCTCCGTCGTGTTGGAAATACTCATATTTTCTCATAAGGCTAAGAAATTCAAGTATACTTCTCCGGTCAGAGATGTTTCAAAAAAGTGGGGGCCAATAATTTCATTATCAAGAACACCAAGCCATACGTTAACACCATATCTCTCTTGAAAATTGGCAACTCTATGTAAATATTCATTTTCTTGTCTCCAATGATAATGTATATTCCTGTTGAACCATCCGTTATTGGTAAATGTACTTTCATCACACCACAAATTGTTTTTACAAATTTCATTATCTTGGCGAAATTTTCTAATGAGCCATCTACAAAAAACTTTTCTCCTGTTGAAGTCCGTTAAACACAAATGATGAACTTTCCTGACTCGATGAGGCTGGAATTTATTTTTCTTGAAAATTTTCCGTACAGACGTAGTGAATATGGCCGAATTATGAGCAATCTCGTTCAGAGATACTTCCTTGTTCTAAATTTTTTCATTTTCCATAAATCCTAAATCAAATTAATGTCACTTTACCATTAATGTGAATCTTCTTTGAACTCACCTAAAACGCCGATTTCATTATCGCCAGTAACGGTACATTTTCTTTCAGAGGGTTTTTTAAAGATCCATAATTCCGTAAGGTATTTTCGATTCGTTGAAAATATCTATGTGTAGGTTGTCATTCAGGATACAATTCCTGATACATTGCCAGATATTTGGTAGCATTCTTCAAACATCTCGAATATACAAAAAGCATATCCACTTTTCGTCATTGTAAAAATTCATGTTTCCCCCTTAAAATCGCTCAACGATTTGAATAACTTTTATTTTGTGTATGACAATTAACTTGACATTCACATTCATGTATTTCATGGCTTACTTAAAAAAAAATTATCGCTTATCATGTTTCTCGTGAAAATCATCTATGACTTTTTTATTACAGTATTTTCATTAGTTAATTCTTGTTGATATACTCATTTTCTGAACAGAAATTTTTGGGTAGCTACAAATTTTCAGAAGACATTTGGAAATTATGAATGGCTTGGTATTAATACAAAGATTATTGGTCTCTCTTTTTTAAGACGACCCTGACAGAAATTTAGTTGGATTTCAGTGAATACAAATATTTATAATCTCAATGAACGACGTTATCGACAGGAGAACTCTGTGTTTCAGTAACATTCGGAAATTCGAGCCCTTTAATAAAAAAATTATAGTGATGATGTGGTTTCGGGAAGAAACGTCGGTAAATATAGATGTGATATATCAATAATTTTCTAATTATGATGATTACGAAAATGTATAAAACAATATACAGGTCCGTCTTTAAAAAAAACATATATTGATGATGGAATTCAATGAACGAAACTTTGCATTGAAAAATGAGTTCACCCAGATTATAAAGCACATGAAATAAAGCAAAAAGTATCTTTATCATTTTTTGATATTATTGAAAATGGAGGCGGTAGAGCAAAAAAATTAAATCTGTCATTTTCAGTTTTTTGCAAATATCTCACAAACCGTTGATGATTTCATGGATCTAAAAATACCATTGAACTTTTGTTCCATTCAACCGTCCTTGTACGACCTACCGTTTCCGAGATAGCAATAGTGGTATCAGCTGAAACAAACAGCCTGTATAGCTTGTTAAAATAATATTTCATTTATTAGATTGACCTGACTATTACATTAGGACACATTGTAAAATTAATTCAAGACTAGTAGATGAGAGAATATTGTAAAATTGATTTTATATAGCTTATACAGACATCTACGGTATAGATAAGGATAGCTTTGTAGGAGGGATTAATTTGATCTTTCTCTTGAAGATGATCACTTGGTGCTCAAAACACGTGTCGAGGTGTTGAAATAACAGTTTGGTGTTGGGAAAAAAATCCAGTAATATTCAGCAAAATATTTGTTCACAAACCCAGTATCCCCATTTCTATATCAAAAATATTGCAATATTTTAAAATTCACCATGACTGGTACTAAGTTTGTTCGGCTGCAATAATGTTAAAATACATCTACTTGAGCATCATCATCAGTTCGAAGTGGCTCAGAATTTTATTACCCTGATTCTTTTATATGAACGACACGAAACAACATTCAACTGGTTTTCTGAGCATCACATATTTTTACTTGAATTTAAAGATTATGAAATTATACTTACACCTATGGCATTGATATAGAAATGGTATGGTACGTTCATCAATATTCCCATCACATAAAAAACTGCATAACTGACATAGAATCTATCTGTCAACTCCACTTTCAGGTTACCATTTTTACTCCTGGAAATTCGAAACATACTAATATTGTATATATTCAACACCTTCACTTTCGAGAATATTTTCTAAGGAAATTAATAAATAATATAAAATAATTACTAAAATTTCACTACCTGACAAAATCTGTTGGAAAATCCATTGTGGAATAAATACATCAGTTACTGAAGGCATAAAGAAGCTATTATGTGAATGTACTGGAGCATTCTTTTTTCTTAAAAATGTGAAGACAGGGTACAAAAATGCACAAAGACCGAAGAACTGACATATTTCATTAATCTACTTCTTTGGAGTAGTGGAGAGGACTCAACTACTCCAATTTCCATAGAAATTGGCATCCCAAATTGTTCGTTTCACTGTTAGGTATACTTAGTTTCATAATAGGGAGACAGTGAATTTAAAGTTACGAGTGTCGCTCCCCAGTAAAGTCATCAGAAATTCGGATAACTTTTTCTGCATGGTGTGCGACCGTTTCTAGGCAGCTACCAAGGCGATGGGTTAACTTGGCATGGTTTTCAATAACGAACAGACCACAACTCTTTTTTTAAGAATTTGGAACCCGCTCAGTAACACTAATTAATAATTCAAAAACAAAAAATGAACATTAGAATAAAAAAATAAAAAAGGAAATTAAAATTTCATATACAAATTTTCATGCAGAAGAAAACAAACAAGAAAAGAGCAGAAAAACAAATTTACTTGAAATTTTCAATGAAAAATTTGGCACTGTTTTATCGATACAAGATGATCAATTTCAGCCGGAATTGATGAGGTAGCTAGACGTACGCAGCTTTCTAATCGTACAACACTTAGTATTGATCAATGGTCATTTTTGATCAATTTCATGGTTGAAAATAATTGTTGGCAATCATATGTACTTCCGAACAGAGACATCATTTGCTTTGCATTTTTCGTCAAAAGCGGAAATTTTTCAGGGCTCAAATAAGATTTATGAAAATTTTCGATGTTTACTGAGAAAACTAGATTTCTCAAATCGGCATTATCCTGCATGCCCTGAATTTCATCATGCAAATTGTGAATAAACTGTGCTTTGCCTTCAAGTTCTCCATTAGGATCATTGAGGTTCTGAGTTATGTCAATAAGAAACTCAAAATCGCACATCTATTCATTATTAACAAAATAAAAAAAAGGCATATTCCAAAAAAAATTGTATTTCGCTTTTTAGCATTGCACCTCTACTAAGCCAACGTACTTCGGTATTTAAAACCACGTCGCCATATTCAGTTTCTAAATCTTTCAGGAATTCTTTAAATACACGGTGATTTAACGCGCGCGACTTTATAAAATTGATTAGTTTGATAATTGGTAGTGTGACATTTGGCAAATTCAATCTTTGCGCACACAAATTTTGCTGGTGAATAATGCAGTGGGTAACACTAACAGCTAACATCTATCTAATACATTTGGTATCTGAAAACGAGGTTATATAAGTAGGTACGCTGGAAAGAAAAGTAGTTCAATGAACAAGGGTGCCAACTATAAAATTCAACACTGGATATTATAGAAATTACCGTGGTTGTCAGAAAGTTAAGAGATAGTCGATAAAATAAATTCAAATTTAGAAATACTTGGCGGGCCGCATAAACATGTTCAACGGGCCGCCGGTTAGGGTTTCAACCCGCTACCAATGTGGACTGTATATAATTATTCACTAATATTAATGAAAGTCCAAGTACTTTCAACAAACTATATTTCTAAATTTTACACAATGTGCAATGTTTGCACTGCCTGTCTTCTTATATAACGTGTTACTGTCGTTACACTTGACTAGCAACCCAAAAGCACTTAAACTGTTATTTCTGTATGCGCGAGGGGTATGTTGGAGCCGTTGCCAAATATATAATTTATTCTATAATTTCTAACATACCCCCCACCTTGAAAGATTGTCTTTTAAAACGAAATGTAAAGTTACATAAAAATAAACATAATTTTACAACTACAAATCAATCATTAATAGATTTATGTGATTGCATTGTCAAGATTTTCTTCACGTAGTATAACCAGCTGTCCAGTCTGCAGGTTATCTTGCTTAATTTGCCATTTATGACGCTGCTGGAGTTCGGTGATATAGTCCTTTGATCACCGATTCCAAAAGTGTTGGTAATGAAAATTCCATCTATTGATTGGAATTTTCATTAAATTTGGATCAAGTGAACTGGTTAGTATTTTTCCGATCAGGAAGTGAGATGATGTCAAAACGTCCATATCGTTTGGATTGGAGGAGAGTGGGGTTAATGGTCGGGAATTCAAAGCTGCTTCTACCTGGGTGAGCAGAGTTGACAATTGTTCAAATGTTAATGAAACATTACCCATTACCCTTATTTAAATGGAATTTTGTTGATTTTATCCCTGCCTCCCATCGACCACCAAAATTTGGAGAATGGGAGAGAATAAATTTCCAAATTACGCCTTCATTTGCAAAGTAGTCTACGAGTGGAATCTCTTCGTTTTTAAAAAAATCAGCCAATTTTTTCAATTCCGAATTGGCACCAATGGAATTTGTGCCATTATCAGACCATACAGAATTCGGTTTACCTCTACGTCAGCAAAATCTTTTGAATGTAGCAATAAATGTTCCAGGTGTAAGGGAGGAAATTAACTCTAAATGGACTGCTCGAGTGGAGAAACAGACAATTAAACAAACATAGGATTTTGAGAGCCTTGCAACACGACCAGGTTTATCTTTAATTAAAAAAGGACCTGCAAATCCACTCCAGTGGTGAAAAAGGGGGGCATTGGACGAACCTTTTCTGCGGGAAGAATACCCATAATTTGAGAAATACCCTTTGGTTTAGTTCTAAAACATCTAATACATTCGAATACGATTCTAGACTGAAGGTCTAGAGAACTTTTAATTCTGGTTATTAACTTAGCTCAAACTGAGGCACCACACAGTTCAAGTCGTGGAATTGTTTGAGATTTTAACGGTGTTACCTTTACCTTAGAACCGACCAAACAAACGTGAATATTGCCTCTTTCATTTATGCTTCTTATATATATGCATGACCCGTAAGCCTTTGAAGAGGAGGCAGCAAAGTCATGTATTTTCAACCTGGTAGGATTTGCACAAACTACATGCCGTGCAATTTGTAAATCATTGAGAGAATTAAATTGATTTTTCAATTGATACCTTTGTGTATGGATGTCAGACGGCAATGTTTCATCCCAATTTGCCTTTAATGCCCATAAGGTCTGTTATAACATTTCGGCAATAATAACACAAGGACGCAATAAACCAAGTGGATCAAATATTTTTGATATATCAGAGAAAGTTGATCGTTTTGTTATTTTGTCTGACTTTGAAAAATCAATACTATATTTGAGTACATCTAACCTAAAACACCAATACAAACCAAGCGTTTTGTTTTCTTCCTTTCCACCGAAGTGAACATTTTCCAATTTAGAAAAATTGCCATTGATTTTTTCAGTAACTTGCGGATCACTGCTAAACCAACTTTCTCAATGGAAATCCATTTGCTTTCAATAATGATGACACATCATTACATAACTGAACTGTCTCTTCAGGAGAATCTGCACCAGATACAAAATTGTCAACATAAAAATGATGTAAAATAGCTTATGCGGCTTTTGGGGCACTTTCTAAGTTCTGAATACCAACTTCCTTTAAACACCCCATAGCCAGAAAAGGTGCTGATTTTGTTCCATAGGTAACAGTGTTCAAAACATATTCCTTGATTTTCAAAAGATCATCTTGACTATTTGCACCTTTATACTGTATGTCGTATGTCGTTAAGAGAGATGCCGTTACTTGTTTGTGATGATCCAATAAAGTCAACTCCTAATTTTGTTGTCGAACTTTGTTCCTTTAGGACACCATGATGTGGCAAAAAATATGACACTTGTTCATCATATGAAGATGGAGGTGCCAATGACATGTGTCCCATCATTTCATATTCTTCCATGAAATCACAATACCCAAAAACCCAAAACCCAAAAACATATCTAAAGCATGTTTTTTGGAATCTGCCAATTTACATGGTGATTCAGATAGTGGCACTTGTATCATAAATTTTTCCTCAAAAATCTCTTCACATTTCTGATCATCCTCAGACATGTAGTTGTTCAAGGGAAGAGGTTCCTCTATCGTCCAAAACTTCTCCAATTGATTGTGTAGATCAGAAGTTTGAGTAAGATTGTTGCTAACAAGATTATATTGTGTTATCATGTTTCCTTTGTGTCTACCTATAGATCCTGAAACAATCCAACCTAGTGATGTTTTTTGTAAAATTGGGTTTTTTAGTCCCAACTTCATTTGACCAATACATAACAAAGAATAAAAAACTTCTGCTCCTAACAAGATATCTATCGGACTGGATTTCGAAAATTCAGGATCAGCCAATGGAAGATGAGGAGGAATATTCAAATGACTCACATCAATGTTATAGTTTAGAATGTTAACCGAAATTTGAGGAACAACCAAGCACATTATATTTTGTTTGAAATTATTCTTTATAGATTGAAATGTAATGCTGCACCTATTTTTTATTTCAGATACCGACTGGTTGATGCCAACAATTGATATCTGAACTTCAGTCCCAATTTTCGTGTAAAATTATATGTGATGAGATAAGATTGAGATCCATTATCAAGAATTCTAGCGATTTGAGGACAATTTTTTTTATCTATCACATATACGGAAGCTGTAGACAATAGTACTTCGTTGCCTCCATCATGTACCAAATTTTCATTGAGTGTAGTTAATGTAGATATGTTAGCTGAAGTGACTTGTGAAGTACCCATTTGAGGATCAGCTGATCCACTTTTACTAATTTGCCTAGAATGTTGTGTTTCAAGGTTGTTTAGTGACTCATCAATAGGTCCTTTATGTTTTTGTACTTCATAGTGTAACAAAGTGTTGTGTTTCTGACCACACTTTCTGCAGTTACCACTCGAACAATCTCGACTTATATGTGAAGCTCTTCGCAAACAATTTAGGCATAATTTTGAACGTTTAGCATATTCAT